GTGTTTTTATTTTTAAAAATGAAAACAAACAACAAAAATACAAAAATGTTAAGTCACATCAAACTTTGCCTCCCCCTTATTGCCAATAATAAAAAAAGGAAAATATTGTAAAAGTTGGAACCCTTTAAATTAAAAAAATTTAGATTTTGTAAAAAAAATAGCAAAATTCATTCTGGTTTATAACTAAAGGGTGAAAACGTTTTCTATTCAATAATCCTTTTGAAGTGAAAATGTACGATCGAATAATCAATTTTAATTATTTTTCACTTTCCATGTAAAAGTAGTGCAATTGTTTCTATGGTCACTCAACTCAAAATTTACTTTCAATGAAAAGCAATATGGTCATAAAACAAATTGTTAGAAAAGAGTTAATTTCACTTTTTTCTCTTAAACTATTAACTTTTATTTATTTAATTTTAAAATTTATGATCTCATCTCATGTGGATTAATTAGAGATAGTTATCCAAATCATTTCATGAACAAAAATGTTGTTTCAAAATTTAAACAAGTTAAGTAAGGGTAGGGAGATGGGTGAAGAAGAAGAAGATCGATATTTGGTTGTAACATATGTTATTTATTATAGTGTAATTAAGAATATGAGCATTATAGGTTATATAATTCAGGTTGTCTAAATTGTAAAAATATCTTTTTGTCCATTAGGTTATTCTTTCAACATTATTAAATGGATGGCGTCTCCAATTGAATCTTATGAAAAAATAAATAAATAAATAAAATTCTAAGGACTAAATAGATGGAATTGATAATTTAAGGGTAAAACTAAAAGAAAAATAATAATAATAATAATTTAAGGAAATAAAAGTAAAGTTAAACCTTTTAAAAAAGAAAGTTTTAGGAGTGTGAGTTTCTTAAGTTCTGTTTGGGAATAAACTATTTTAGGTAATTTTTTAACTATTTTAACTTAGCTAAAAGAATTGTGTTTATGATGATAGTTGACTTTATTTTTTTTGTAGTTGATTTGATGATTGTAAGAGAAAAAGTGAAATGTTTATTGTTTGGATGTGATATTTTATTTTATTAATTATTTTAACCTATTTTATCTTTATTGATTTTTTTAGCCTAAACCCAACTTCCTAAACACTCCCTAACTGTTGCCAATAGAAAATTTTGGATTATAATCATCTACATTATAAAATGGTAATGGACGATATCTATTCTATTATCCAAAAGTTTTTAATTATTTTTTTAAAAATTTAAAATAGTAATGAATTTTTATTATTATTTCATAATTCTTAAATGATATAACAAAGATTCTCTGTTACACTTATGTAATAGAGATGATCTCAATCTAAAAATTTCCACTTAATTTACTTGTAAAAGTAAAAGAATAGAGATTTTCTATAAAGAAAATATAAATTCAATTATATGAAATTTGGTTCAGCTAGTTCATTGCCCTGATTGGTAGAACTTCCAAACATGGCATTAGTTGTCAATTGTCCTTTCAAAAAATTTTTGTCCCATACTTTATTTCTCTTTTACTCATCACTAGCAAATTAACTTTTGCCTTGGGATGGGATATTGAATGTCCTACAACTTATTGGGCCATCATTGTCAATGAGATTTTGATTTGAATTATTTATTTATTAAAAAAAGTTCAGGTCGTCTCATGTTAGGATTAAAATTAGATTCATCTAGTCTGACTTATGGGTTCATTTTTAAATTTTATTTTGATAATTTGAATTATTTAATATGTAAAACTCGTTGAATATTATATTTTTATAAAAAATTATGTTGATCGGATATAAATAACTATTTAATCGGATCAAAATTCTATCAATCGTTTATTTTTGTACCAATTATTTTTTTAATACAAATCTGATCTGAGCAAATAGCTATCGATATCCAATCAATGTAATTCTTTACAGAGATGTAGTACTCAACAAATTTTATATATTAAACAGTTCGAATTATCGAAATAGGACCCAAAAATAAACCCATGGACTGGATTAAACGAGTCCAATCTTAATCTCAATATGAGACAAACTGTACCCATTAAAAAATATTTGATATCATATTTATAAATGTATAAAAGTATTAAAATAATGGAACCAAAGTGGACAATATTACTCAAGTATATAGGACTCCCAACGGACCTTAAATCTGTGATTCAAATTGTGTATTTTTAAAGTTTGAGTGTGAACATTATTTATATAAAAAATTAAGTTGATTGGATAATAATAATTATTTTTAGTTTATTATATTTCTCTTCAAAAAATAAATAATATTTATTGTTTATTTTTCTTACAAATAAATGTCCTAAACTAACATATTACATACACATCCATATTTTTATAACTATTTTTACTTATTCCCCCTATAAATAAATAAATATAAATATATTGAAATTAATGACTATTTGTTGGACTATTACTAATATTTTCCTATATAAATAATTAATTTCCATTTTATGCACAAGAAATTAAAAACAAATTAATCATATCTATATTTTGAAAATAATTTACAAATAAAATTTATATATAAAAAATACATTTAGAATGATGTGGCTTATTTATATTTTTCTAGTGTTTTATTTGTAATTATCACCAACATATACATATATAAAAGTTGTTTGGTGAAATTTTTTTGAATTATATTTATATATATATATATATATATTTACATACGTATTTAAAAAAATATTTAAAATAAAAAATTTATACAAAAATAATATTTAGGTTAAAATGTCAATGTCATTTTAAAATTATGAAAAAATAGTGGTTATTTTTATTAAAAGTAAAGGGATCATAACAAGTCACATTATTATATGTATGAAAATTATATGAAAAAATCTTAAAAGAACGGTAATACCTATCATTATTGACATACAAACATATTTAATCTCACTATGCATATGTGGAAGTTACTGAATTGTTAATTATATTTGGCATGTAGGGCCCACCCTTCATGTGTTAGTTTATTATTAGTTGGTAATATTACATGTCAATGATGACATGTATCACCATTATATTAAAATCTTACTCAAATTTTGTACAAAAAATATATTTTATCATTTTATAATTTATTTTAAGACTTGCATATATGACTTTTTCGTATTGTATATGATATACTAGTTACAAGTAACACTATTTTCGATCTTTCTTGAAATTAATTGTAAAATTTAATGTGAAATATGCTTATAATAATTTATTTAAGTTGTTGTACTTAATATTAATTAAAAATTATTATTATCTTATTATTGTTAGTAACAGAATTTTTTTCAACTTAAAATTAATAAATATCTCTTTTAATTTAATTTTCTATCCCCAACACTGCTCACAATAATTGACGTTATAACTTGAAATAACAGACTAAAAATAACATGACATTTTGTATGAAATTTGTGTATAAAAATTTAATTTGTATAATATTTTTCAATTGTTTTTCGATTATTTTAAATTGGTCTTGTGAATCATGTAAAAGTACATGTTTTGTGATGGTAGCATATAGGCAGATAGATACAGAGAGAAAGCTTTCAAAGCTGTTCTTTTGCAGCCTTCTCACTGTTCTTTGGACTTCATATAGAGGGGGAGGTAGGGGTAGATAGCTCATATGGCTCTCCTTTAAAGAACCTTTTTGATATCAAAATCTTGATTCTCACAACAATCTTGTGGCTACCATAAACATGCAACCCCAAATAATTGACGCTTCATGGAATGCAAAATAATTGCGGGGGTAATGCTTAGATAATAAGAATTCAGACACAACACATGTCTAAAGAAAAATAATACATATCTTATAACATTTTTTTTAGTATATTTTTGTAGCTAAATTCTCGATATCTCGCATTACTAATGTGTTTGATTTGAGTTTTTTGAATTAAATTTTTTAGTTTTCGTGTTTTTTTATTTTTAGTGAATATTTTTTAAATTTTAAACATTTTTTTTTACTTTTTAGATGCACCTTACTTAGATGTATCTAAAAAGTAAAAAAATAGTGAAAAAATATTTTAAAAATTAATAAATACATAAAAATATAAAAAATGTACTGAATTCTCTTCTTTTTTTTTTATATTTTGGATATTTAGTGAATTTTTAAAAGGTTTTCTTCACAAATTTTTTACTTTTTAGATACATGTAAGTTAGGTATGTCTAAAAATTTTAAAAATTGCTTAAAATATTAAAAAAACAGTAAAAACAAAAAAATATAAAAAATAAGAAAGTAGAATTTTTTAAAAAGTATTTTTTGAAAATGAAACCAAGCATAGTTGTATGTACGATGTTTATTTATAAAATTTTGTACGGACTGATAGGTTACATTATATTGTTGGGAGTCCTTATAGTCTGCAATGTGTCATTTTAGTTTTTGTTGTTTCAATATCATTTATTTAAATTTCACACTTTTAATTGTATTTCAATATAATCCCTTTAGAATAAATGAAAAAAAATACCATATGCAACTCATGTGTCCATTTTAGCAAATCTCGTTCAAGAAAGAAAAATAAATATATTACATGGATGATTCTTATAATTTATTTCAAAATTTATTATAATTCCTCTAATTTTATACATGTCTTTTTTTTTTTATATCTAAAATATTAACAATAACCGGTGAAGATCAAAGTGAAATATTATAATTTATTCTTAGAAAATGAAAAAGAAAAAATATATATGTGCAGATCTTGAATCAAAACCCTAGCCATGCCTTATTATTGCTGATCATTTGGAGTTTTTTTTAAAAATATTTTTGGCCATAGCTCATGAGCATAACCATTAACTGCTCATGATTGAGGGTTGAACTTCAAAGAAAACCCAACACCAACAAATTCAAATTCCTTTCAACAATCCTACCTTTGTATTAAAAAAGAAAAAAAAAAGAGAGAGCTCAAAATTTGATATATATTTAATTGTAAACAACTTTTAAATAATTTGTTTTAGATATATGGCATTTCCTAACTAGGCATCAATACTCAGACTAAATGTACATAGAAAGAGAGAGAGAGAGAGAGAGAGAGAGAGAGAGAGAGAGAGAGAGAGAGAGTGAAGATTGCTAAATAAAAGAAAGAAGATAACACAGTATTGCATTGCATATATCTTGTAAATGAAGGTGAAATGAAAATTAGAAACAGTGAAAAAAAAAACTTAAAATGCAAATATTAAGATTTAATTAATTGTTTAGAAGCAACACAGCCTCATGGTGAATCCTACTTAGCATCTCATTCACAGCAGTTGCTATTTCATCCACTGCGGTCAGCTTGCAGTCATCTTCTACCTGCAACACCATCACCACAAAAAATAAAAAAATTGCTAAATTCATTCATTTTATTATATTTTTTTCTTCTTCTTCTCTTTTCTTCTTATCTTTTGAAGATTGGATTGTGTTATTGTTTTCTTCAATTTTGTTTCTACTTTTTATGGAAACAAAAATATTATAAAGTTCAAAGGCACGCAACATTTACTCTTTTTTTTTTGTTTTGATCGACAAAAAAAATCTTTATTGATGAACAAAGAAATCATTACATCAAGAAAGGAAAAAAGATGAATGGAAAAAGTATCATAGCGAGACATACCAATCCCAACTAAGTTGACACCGAAATGCCCATCCAATCCCTTACTAGCACGTCATCAAGAGTTGTAAACAACCAACCAAAACCAAGAAAAACAACAATACAGAACAAAACAACAGCAAAACCAGAACACCTTGCTACATTTACTTATCGTATTTATTTTGTGTGAAAACAGTTCTTGAAATTTAAAAACAATAAAAAATCAAAAACACCCGGCATTTTCCTATTGTTTGTTTAATTTATTTATTTTTCAATTTTTGAAAGTTGAAAATTAATTTTAATTCAACATTTTTTTTGTTTTTCCTATGTTTTTTTTTTTTGGGGGGGGGGATTAATGAAAATTTTGAAAATTGTTTTCATTTTGTGTGAAAACAATTTTCAAAAATTTAAATATAATTTTTCAATGTTTCCTGAAAATGGATTGTTTCGTAAAGTTTTTTTCAAAATCATTTCTCCCTATTAGTTGTGTTTTCGTTTTGACAAACAAACTTCTACATAAATTTTTTTCGGAAACAACTTTTCAGGAATCACCACTAAGTTGGTTTCCAAATTTTGAAAACTGTTCTCGCACAATAATGAAAAAACAATATGAAAACAATTGGCGTTTTGGATCTTTTCGTTGTTTTATTTCCGAAAATACTTAGAATGAAAATACAACAAAACAAACAAAGACAAAAAAAAACACAAGAAATTGACACTGAGAGCATAAAAAAATAAAAGAATTCCACAAAAAAATAAAAACAGAATAAAAAAGGCAACTGCTTGTTTAACTAACCTTGACACTGATAGAATAAAGAACAACTTGAGCAACTGTAGAAACATTCAAATGGAGGATAGTGAGCCTGAGGCATTGCAACCCACAAACTATCTTCATGAGCTGCTTCGGCCGCTTTTTCGATCTTATTTTAAGGTTGGCATGGCTCTCCACCATCGTCACTTCGATATCCGCCACGGCCGGTGACTGGTTGTCAACACCGGCCTTGTCGATCACCATTATTGAATTTTGGGAGCAATCCGAGCTCATCGAGTACTGTGGAAAGGTAAAGAACTCAGAAAATGGCTTAGATGAAGAAGATGATGAAGATCCAGACTCAAACTTTTGGTTCATGTGCTTTCGTCCTCCAAGGGATTGTAGCTTTTGCTCGAGCTCCTTTACATAGTTGATGGCACCACCTATGATTGATGCTTGATCACCCTGATGATCGTAGTAACAAAAACCCAGATGGCAGACAATCATATTTTTGTATATATCTACTTATGTATATGTGTGTTAACGAGAGAGCTCACGACCATAATTCTAAACATCGACAGATATGCAATACGTATCAGAAAAATAGAATACCGTGACGGATATAGATCGATATACCACTGATATAAAAAATCGCTAGAGTATCGGCCGAGTCCCAGTACATATCGGCCTGTAAACGTTACACAAGCCGTTACACAAGCCGCGACAGGTCGATACTCACCGGTTACAACCGGTACGGGAAAGAAAAAGTTAAAAAATATTTGAAATGATTTTTAAAATTTCACCACTGCGACACCTGCGACACCTGATTCTTGATACGTACCGATCGATACTACCGATACCGATACTCCGTGATCGATACCATTACGTTACCCGATACCGCGATTTAGAACCTTGCGCACGACTTTAAAGAACGGTATCAAGAGATAAATCAATATGTGTTGCAATTTAATATATTGAGTGGACACGGTCGTAATTAATTTCTAAAAATTAATCTTGCGTGAAAGAGTTTCATAATAGTTGAACCCACTGTATTGACTATGAATTGTGTATAAATCAGTTATAAACTGATACTTCTCATGAACCAATGAATATGTATGTGATTTTCATTCAAATCAGTATAGGCATCAAAAGGCTTTAAAAGAAAAACGTATCAGATACATGATTATGAATTTTTAAAAGTCTTTCTCTATGATTTTTTTATTCTATTTTGTATATAGAAGTCAAACTGGTTATATTAACTATGAATCGGCCATGAATCAGGTGATTTTCGTTCTGACCAGTATCAATATTGAGAGGTCAAAAAAATTCTATAGTGATTGATGTATCGACTGACATTTAAAATGAAGAGAGAGAGAGAGAGGGAGGTTTCCTAGAGAGAGAGTACTCTTTGAACATATGATTCCGGCATTAGTCCCCGGAGCACAGAGAGATACTCATTCATTTGCTTTCTCCGATTTCGCTCAACTGCAATGTGGGTCATTCTCTGGTTCTCAATCTCTTCCTTGTTCTTCTTGCTCTTCGATCGCCTTCTCTTGGGTCGGGTTGACCCGGTAGTTGAGATATCCAGCTGTGGGAGTTCTTGAGGAGCTATAGAGCTTGTGATGTCGGGTTCGGATGATGAATTGGGTACCCATTGGGGCACTATTGATGATGGAGGAGGAGGAGGAGGTGGGGAACTCCAATTCTGAGGGTGAAAATTTTCTGTTTGGTTCTCGAGAACGTCGAAGCAGGAGACATAACACTCTTCTTCCTTTTCATAGCTCCAATTTCCTAGTAATAAGTTGTAGAGATCTTTGGTGGTGTTGTAGTTAAACAAGTCTTGCTGAACTGCAACTGCCTCTAAGGCCATTCTCCCTCTCTCTCTCTCTCTCTCGCTCTCCCTCTGTCTCTCTGAGTTTCTCTCTCTAAAATGTGAGAGGTGTCTGTGTGTAAAGGCAACACATATCAAGAAGTCTGATTAAGTGAACATTGCTAGCCTTGGGTGAAATATTTGGGCTTTTAAAGACACAATAAATTGCATCTACAGCATATTGCACGTGAAATTGTTTTGATTTTTTGATCCTGTTCGATTTAACTTGAAAATTGATTAAATTATTTTAAAAAATCACTAAAATCACAAAAATACGAATTAAAAATTCAAAAAATTAAGGTAGCATTTCGCAAAGTTTTCTAAATATGATGTGAGAATAGAGTTATATTTGAGTTTATGAGTTTTGGAATTATGATTTGAACGTGAAAAATTTGTTTGGTGAATGAGTTTGAAAAGAATTTTAAATTAAGTGAGAAATTTTTTATGTGACATATGATATCTGATAAAAAAATTTACAACTCATAACTAAACACATAACTCAAAAATCTATTAAAAGTTCATAAATTTTTTTTTTTTAAATCCGAAAATATTGTTTTATTAAACATATAAAAAAAAGTGCCATTTACAAAAAAAAAAAAAAAAAAAAAAAAAAAAAAAAATCCCATTTTCAGATTGGCCGGTCAACCGGCAGGATGACAGGTTAAGCCAAATTTCAAAAAAAAAAAAAATTGAAAATCCCGCTTGACACAAAGTTTTCCGCAGAGTTTTCTGTTTGTTGTGGAAATATAATTTGAAAATCCTATCCAAATATGGTATTAGAATGTGTGGGTAGAATTATAATTTGTAATTCAATTTCGTTAGATTTTTTTTTATAGTAAATTTAAGTGTACAATTTTTATTTATTTTTTTATTTTTTACAAAATGACATCAAATATGAAAAATAAATAAAAACAAAATAGATTTTTGTTTTTGAGAAAATTTTAAATAAGCCTGAAAATGAGATTATTCTCCCATTGTCCAACTAAAATGCAATTTTTTCTCTCCTGTGCATAGACAATTTTTACTGCATAAAATACAATTATAAAATAATTGTTAGGTTTTTTTTTTTGATCAGCAAAAAAAATCTTTATTGATGAAACATACAAAGTTTGGAAGATTACATCAATAAAGAGGAGCTTGGGGCTAGAAAAGCACCAAGCGCCAGTTGGTGAGAAACCAACAAAAAAAGAGAAAGAGAAAGAGAAAGAGAAAGGACAACAAACAGAAGCAAAAACACAGAGCCAATCCCAAGCAGAATCCTCACTAAACACAGAGCCATATCCTCACACAGAAGTAGACATTTCCCATTTCTGATCAATTCAATCCTCACTAAACCAGCCATCCATTTCTGATCAAGTTCAGAGCCACAGCCTACCTATACAATTCAATCAATTTGCCTTCAGATGATCGCAAAAACAGAACAAAACGAGTGACACAGAACAGCCTTCTCATTTCTAAAGCAGAAGCAATTAACCAGATGAAACAATTGACCAGCCTTCCCATTTCCAGGTGAAGACAATTAGCCAGCCTACCCATTTGCATTCCAAATGAAAACATCAGATATACTTCAGATTGTAGAATAAGCAGACTGCACAACAGATATAGCACACCAAAACCCAGAATACACAGACTACAAGCAGATTTAACACTACAACACACATCAGTTCCTCACACAGATGCAAATCTTCTCAGAACATCACATAACAAAACACTTGCCTCTTACCATGCAAGCCATTCGGCCAGAGCAAACATATGCAGCAGAAGGACTCCAAACATAGCAGAATAACAGATTCAACAGATGAACACCAAGAACACCCAACAGTAATCAAGCTCACTATGGAGACCCACCAAAGAACCCAACGAATGCAACCCACCAAAAAGCACCCAGCAGCAACCAATCTCACCCAACACAAAACACCCCACAGAGAAGTAGACTAGCAGATTAGAGCAGAAGTAAATAGACTAGCAAATCAAAAGGTAAAGACCAACTGTGGATTCAGGAATGAAAATTGATTTGACTCCATTTGAAAACTAAATCATCAATAGAGAATGAGAAGTTCTTAATAGATGCTTTCAACCAAAAAGCTGCCCTAATTTTGATTAATTCACACAGTCCTAATAAATTGGGTTGAATCTCAGAGAAGGCACATTCGTTCCTGTGCTTCCAAAGAGACCACAGAATAATAAGGGGAAAGGCTCTCCAAATAAGCCTAACAAAGCTCTTCAATCTAACACTCAACCACCAATTGAGAAGGCCTTCCACAGAGTTATTGATGCACCAGTAGAACCCCCAATCAAGAATAAAAGAAGACCAGATCCGCCAAGAAAAGGGGCAAAGAAGCAGAACATGAACTGCAGATTCAGTTCTGTAGAAAGGGCAAAGAATGGAAACACTTCTGTCCAGAATGCTAATTCTCTGCAAAAATTCTGCAGATTTGACTTTGTTTTTCCATGCCATCCAACAAAAAAATGAAACCTTGGGGGGAGTGGTTCTATTCCAAATGGATTTACAAATTCTGAGATTGGGGCCGAAATTAGAGCTACTAAGGGAGTAAAGAGAGGACACAGAGAACTCACCGTTACTTGTAGATGCGGAAGCCCAGGACAAATCAAGACTCAGAGAAGGAACTGAGGAAAGGACACCAAGCAATCTAGCTTCTTCAGCCAATTCCCATACATATAACACTCTTCTATGGGGTAAAATCCAATCACTTGAGCTGATTTTTCTTGCAAAGAATTGGTAAAGAGAACCTTCTTTATCAGTTGAGAGATTAAAGAGATACGAAAATCGATCTTAAGATAAGAGTTACCACACCACCTATCATGCCAAAATTTGTTTCTATTTCCATTTCCCACTTTAATAATGCAGTTGCCCAAGTAGAAGTTGTAAATAATACTGCTATGAGACCCATTGGAGATGATGTCCTTCCACAGTCTGGAATGTTTGTAAGAGGACTTCATTGGTGAAAACCAACACAGCTTATTAATCTTATATTTACAACAGATAGCTCTCCTCCAAAGAGCATTGATTTGAGTTCCAAATTTCCACCACCATTTGAGTAGCAAGCAAGCATTGACATCTCTGATCCTTTGGATACCCAGCCCCCCTTGATCTGTGCTTCTTGTGACCTCCACTCATTTCACAAGGTGAACTTTCCTTTTAATGGCATTACCACCCCATAAAAAGTTAGCCTCAATCTTTTCAATATCTCTAGCCATACCTTTAGGCATCTTGAATAAAGAAAGAAAGTACACTGGTTGACTGGATAAAGTAGACTTGATCAAAGTTAGTCTTCCTGCAAATGACAATATTTTCCTCTTCCACCGGGAAAATCTAGCTTTAAATTTGTCAATCACAGGCTTCCAAGTAGATTTCCTACTAGGATTAGCACCAAGGGGCAGCCCCAAAAAATTGATAGGAAGGTTATGCACTTTACAATTTAAAAGCCTTGCAAAAGAGAGCAGAAGTGCATCATCCACACCAACACCACACACCATACTTTTGTGGAAATTAATTCTGAGACCAGAGAGAACTTCAAAGCATCTGAGAATTCTTTTGACCAAGACCATTTGATCCCAATTTGCTTCAGAAAAGAGAATTGAGTCATCGGCAAACTGTAAGTGAGATAAGAGAACATCATTAGCCCCAACTAACACACCTTTGAGAATGCCAAGATTAAGTGCTCTGCCCAAAAATATATTAAGCCCTTCAGTTACTATATTGAACATGAAAGGTGAAAGCGAATCACCCTGCCTAAGACCTCGTTAAGGTGAGAATTCCTTTGTTGGTGATCCACTCACAAGAATCGAAATTCTAGTTGTAGAGACACACGCTTTCATCCAGGAAGTCCATTGAGATCCAAAAAAATTCACTCCAAAAACACCCAACAGCATCCAGTCAGCAAACAGAGCTTTGAAACAGAGAATCTTTGATGATGAATTCACTCAGACAAAACAAGTTTCAACCAACATCACTCAGACAGATCAGAGGAGCAGACTAGCTGATAGATTGGGTTGAATCTCAGAGAAGACACATTCGTTCCTGTGCTTCCAAAGAGACCACAGAATAATAAGGGGAAAGGCTCTCCAAATAAGCCTAACAAAGCTCTTCAATCTAACACTCAACCACCAATTGAGAAGGCCTTCCACAGAGTTATTGATGCACCAGTAGAACCCCCAATCAAGAATAAAAGAAGACCAGATCCGCCAAGAAAAGGGGCAAAGAAGCAGAACATGAACTGCAGATTCAGTTCTGTAGAAAGGGCAAAGAATGGAAACACTTCTGTCCAGAATGCTAATTCTCTGCAAAAATTCTGCAGATTTGACTTTGTTTTTCCATGCCATCCAACAAAAAAATGAAACCTTGGGGGGAGTGGTTCTATTCCAAATGGATTTACAGATTCTGAGATTGGGGCCGAAATTAGAGCTACTAAGGGAGTAAAGAGAGGACACAGAGAACTCACTGTTACTTGTAGATGCGCAAGCCCAGGACAAACAATCTGCTCTATCAAGACTCAGAGAAGGAATTGAGGAAAGGACACCAAGCAATCTAGCTTCTTCAGCCAATTCCCATACATATAACACTCTTCTATGGGGTAAAATCCAATCACTTGAGCTGATTTTTCTTGCAAAGAATTGGTAAAGAGAACCTTCTTTATCAGTTGAAAGATTAAAGAGATGCGAAAATCGATCTTAAGATAAGAGTTACCACACCACCTATCATGCCAAAATTTGTTTCTATTTCCATTTTCCACTTTAATAATGCAGTTGCCCAAGTAGAAGTTGTAAATAATACTGCTATGAGACCCAATGGAGATGATGTCCTTCCACAGTCTGGAATGTTTGTAGGAGGACTTCATTGGTGGAAACCAACACAGCTTATTAATCTTATATTTACAACAAATAGCTCTCCTCCAAAGAGCATTGATTTGAGTTCCAAATTTCCACCACCATTTGAGTAGCAAGCAAGCATTGACATCTCTGATCCTTTGGATACCCAGCCCCCCTTGATCTGTGCTTCTTGTGACCTCTACTCATTTCACAAGGTGAACTTTCCTTTTAATGGCATTACCACCCCATAAAAAGTTAGCCTCAATCTTTTCAATATCTCTAGCCAC